AGAAAGAGAAAGAGAAAGAGAAAGAGAAAGAGAAAGAGAAAGAGAAAGAGAAAGAGAAAGAGAAAGAGAAAGAGAAAGAGAAAGAAAAAGAGAAAGAGAAAGAGAAAGGCAGGGTGTGTGGATAATGTGTGAGAAAGAAATATAGAGACAGGGAACTATAGCAGAACGACCGAGATACGCTTTTTAAGAGCTTAATGTCAATGCGTTCTAACATATGTACTAGAAATCTTAGCAGACAAATCCTTGAAAATAGTCATATTAAGTTTTGAAATAGAAGAAAAGATCTTCACGTAGGTGGGTGCATTTTAGGGATAATTCAGATAAAAAATACTCAGAAGTATTTGCTCACTCATTCACACTCGCACTCACTTATTCCTTTATACCAGTGATGCTCAAAACAGCGTCCGTGGGTCAAAGGTCTCCATAATTCGGCGATCGAGAAAGATATTAGTTTGGCGCTACGCCTTTCACAACTTCGACCGAGACAGCTGAATCTAATGTTTTGCTAGTTGCTATGCGTTTAATTATTTTCACTTTTAGATTGTTAATGCTGAGAAAGGAAACACTTTCTCTTACAATACGTCTGTAGCCTCGTTAGTAAACTGCGGCTTTTGACATTGTTGCTCTATCGGTTATGCTATTATAGCAAAAGTACCTCACACTTGATTTCTTTTGGCATTAATTTATTCCATTTAATTTTACATAATTTCTGTTCAATTCATTTCTTTTCTTTTTATTTAATTTTACTTTGCTTCTTTCTGTTTTATTTCATTTCTTATCAATGTATTATACTTCCTTTAATTCATTTTTTGATTTGATTTCATGTAATTTAAAGAAAAAACAAATAATTTCGTTTCCCTAAACTTTCCTAAATTTCAATCCAATTTACTCGATTTAATTCCACATCATTGATTTTTACTTAATTTCATTTCTTTTCATTTCAGTTCATTTTGTTTCATTTCATTTCATTTTACTTTTCTTCGCTTCGTTTTATTTCATTCCTTTTCATATCATTGCATTTTGCTTCCCTTCATTAATTTATTTGAATTTCACTTTGCTCGATTTCATTTCACTTAATTTTTTTTCACCTAATACTTTTAACTTTACTCAATTTCATTTCACTTTACTCGATTATATTCCACTTACTCGATTTCATTACACTTCATTTCTATTTACTAACTTGCATTTTACTTTACTTAGTTTCCTCTTCCATTATTTAAATTTACTTAAGTTTAATACATTTCATTTCATTTAAATTTACTTTCCTTCGCTTCGTTTTATTTCATTCCATTTCATATCATTGCATTTTGCTTCCCTTCATTAATTTCTCTTAGTTTCACTTTGCTCGATTTCATTTCACTCAGTTTTATTTCACTTTACTCGATTTGATTTCACTTTACTCGATTTCATTTTACTTCGTTTCTATTTATTCATTTTACTTCATTTCGTCTTCATTCATTTCAATTTTCTTCATTTTACTTAATTTCATTTGTTTTCATGTCATTTTATATCATTTACTTTCAATTGACTTTATTTTACCTGACATTATTTCATTTCTCTTGATTTTATTTCGTTTCACTTAATTTAGTTTCATTTCATGATGTTTTTTCCGATTTCATTCATTTCTTTGCATTTCGTTTCACATCATTCTATTTGATTGTATTTAATTTCATTCCCATATCACAGTTACTCTGATGCACTCTATTTTCACTCAAAACTTCTTCCTCTGCACTTTTTTGTAACAAATCAATATTTTTTTCTTTTACATGTCAACCGCCAACGCAGGAGTGGAACGATATGAATCTCCGTTGGAATACATCCGATTATGGCGGTGTTAAAGATTTACGTATACCGCCGCATCGGATATGGAAGCCGGATGTGCTGATGTACAACAGCGCCGATGAGGGCTTCGATGGCACATATCAAACGAATGTGGTGGTGCGCAATAACGGTTCGTGTTTGTATGTGCCACCCGGCATATTCAAGTCCACTTGCAAAATCGACATAACGTGGTTTCCGTTCGATGATCAACGTTGCGAAATGAAGTTCGGCAGTTGGACATACGATGGATTTCAGGTTTGAATAAGTTGTCAACAATTAAACTCAATGACAAAACGAAAACGCACACACACACACAAATAAATATGTACATTTAACCGACACAGCATCATAGATTAATATATGTATACAAGCACGCATACATACAAATTATAATGTTAAATGAAGTGCATAAACGGATTCCGAGAATGGCGCAGGAAGAGCCAACGAAAACTTACACGGCACCGCATATTGCCGCTGGTCATCGACATTGTTGTTGTTATGCCGGTGGATGCAACGAAACGCATAAAATGTGTGGTGAAATGAAGTTGTAAATACTTAATGCAACGCCAGGAAGTATGCCACATTTACGTTTTCAAGTGATTTTCGCGGACGATTTCCCATATCTACGTCTTTAATTAGTTCATAAAATTTTTACGTTTCTTAGTTTTGGTTTCTGCTTAGAGTTTGCATAGAAAAATTTTCAAACTAACAAATAGTGTATAAAATTTATTAATCATACTTTGCACTTTCAACAGCTGGACTTGCAATTACAAGATGAAACTGGCGGTGATATCAGCAGTTACGTGCTCAACGGCGAGTGGGAACTATTGGGTGAGTAACGAGCGCCATACTAGAGCATCTCTGTAGTAGTTGTTGTTGTGCTTGTGTGTAACTATACATGTATATATAAATGTATATGTATGTAGGTGTCTCACAAGCATCACAAATTCAAATGTTGTTGCTATAAATGTTGCCTCACAACGAGGGCGTAAAAAAATGTATTTTCATATGTGTACACACGCACACACTGCCATTCAATCGGAAATAGGATAATTTCGAATTCGAAAAAATAGTTTACATTTTTTAAATTCTTAGAAAATACATAAGGCGCTTCAAGCTTTCGCGCTTTCTCTAAACAAATACTTGTTCGTACATCTGCTCAACTAAATATCTATCTCGTTATATATTTTTAACAAATAAACAAATTCATGCTAATACTATTACTTAATTAATCCTCTTCGCATTTTTGCTTCCTTTACCAAATTCGGAAATTGGGTCTTGAAAAACGCAAAATCGATATCTCATGCCCTTTTGCTACAGCTTTGTTTTAAAGTTCAAACTCTTTCCCTGATTCATAACTCTCTTTTCAACCATTGCAACAATGGCATATTTTCAAAAAAAAAAAAAAAACAGCTCATTTACAGTCCCGAAACTCTGAAAATTCGAATGCTTGAAAATCCAAAAAATACTTAAACATACAAGTAAATACTCGAAACATTCCCGTCTAGAATATTTTTCACCATAACTGAAATAGAAAAATATTTTTTTCACGTCAAGAAATCAGTACTGCTAATTAAATTTGGTTTTAAAAGTGGTTATGGGTAGTTTTTCAATTTTCCCGAAAAGTCGCGAATGATTCCACAAAATTTATAAAAAGCAAAATATTCCCGAAAAGTTTAAAACCACTTTTCGAAATTTTATCAATCTTACAGAAAGATATCGAAAAATCCGCAACAAAAAACTAAAAATGCAGAAAAGTTGCGACAAAAGCTCCAAAAAGTCCGAGAAAAACCGAAGAATCACCGAAAGTCTCGAAGAATCTCCGAAAATTTTGTGATTTCCGAAAAAGCCAGAGAATCGCAAAAAAATCTCGAATTATACCGCAAAATAAAAACAAAAATAAACTAAAATGTGATAATATTTTTTCATATCAAGAAATCAGTACCGCTAATTAAATATTGTTTAAAAAATCGTTAAGGGTAGTATTCAAACTTCCCGAAAAGTCACGAAGGATTCCGCAAAATTTATAAAAAAGCAAAATATTCCTGAAAAGTTTAAAACCACTTTCCAGAACTAAAAATGCAGAAAAGTCGCGGCAAAAGCTCCAAAAGCTCCGAGAAAAATAGAAGAATCACCGAAAGTCTCGAATAATCTCAGAAAATGTTTATGTTTCGGATAGCCTGAAAAAGGCTGCGGAAAAGAGAATTCAAAAAGTTCAAGCCGTGTCGAAATGATCTCAAACATTTAGGGAGGGAGTCCCAAAGAAGTACAAAAAGGTTGTAAAAGTTCCGATAAAAACCCGAATAACCCCGAAAAAGCTGCGGGAAAATTCCAAATCATTCGGAAAAAATCAGGAAGTGCCAGAAAAGTTTCGAAAATTTCGAAAGAATCGCAAAAAAGATCCGAAATGTCGTGAAACCAAATTGAAAAATTCCGAAAAAGTTAGGGAAAAGCCTACAAAAAAGATTAAGCAGTATCGAAATAATTTAGGAAGAATTCCAAAACATTTCAGGAAAATAACCCCGAAAAAGCTACGGAAAATGCCAAGTCAAGCCGGAAAAAAAATCAGGAAGTGCCAGAAAAATTTCGAGAAAATCGTGAACTGCCTAAAAAATGTCGCTTAAAAGCACAACAAGTAGTCCCTGAAATAACTTACAGCTGGCAAAGATCTAAAAGTTTAGCTTAAATTTCCCGCAAAAATATGAGAGAGTCCCAAAAAGTTCCGAAATATCTCCAAAAATTCCGGAAATGCCTAGAGTTTGAGAAACCCGGAAATTATACCGAAAAGTTGAAAAGTTTTCAGATCGCAGGTGGTGGGTAGGCAGCGATCAACATATGTCAGACTTAATACACTCATAGATGCAATAATATTTTGCAAGATCGATATCATAAAATAAGTATTAAAAGGGGTTACGGAGCGGGGACGTTGAGTGAGCCCAGTAATCCGTTCTAAAACACTGAAGAAAATAGTCCTGAGTTTACTGCATTTCCGAATTTAGTTTGTTCGCCCAGGCACTATTTACTAGCATGGGCTAGCTGACTAACTGAGAAGAAAACCCTTAGACTGGGTTTCTCCAACTTAGTCATACGCATCATCTAGGCCAAAAATTAGCCTGCGTTTTAATCAGCTTATTCTTGACTAAGTCCAAAAATTGGCTAAACTAAGTTAAGTTCAGTTGGAGAAATCAGCCCTGAGTCTATTACAGCTTGTTGTTCTGCTAAGACTCCATCAGTTCATTTTGAGAACAACGCGTAGCTTTTCAATGAATTTCGGTATATCAGAGGCGTTGAGGGTTTTCCTTGTGGGACTTTCTGCCTGCTTCCATAAGCTGTCCAACAGAGATCCCTTTCCATATTGATTCGGATGGGCCACCACTTTAGCCGTTCTGGTCTTGTCAATTTCGGCAAAGTAAGACTAAATTTGTTTTCATCCAAAGTAGTTGCAGAACGCTGAAGATGGGAGAGAGAGAGAGAGAACCTTGTGCTATTTAACGATATAAGATAAATAGTGTATCCGCCACCTTATCATGTTAGGTCTTTCAGTGATCAAAAGTAAAACTGAATGGTCGAGTAAGTTAGAGCCGTAGCGAATCTGCCATTTCGGAAAGGTAACTGGCAAGCATTCGTTAGCCTACAACATATCCAATAGGTATTGACACGCGTTTGACCCTCAATTGCGGAAGGATACACTGGACGGTCAGGTATGTGGGTAGCAGCACTTTTTAAAACAGATGTTGGGTCTGAGACATATTCGAAGGAATAAATAAGAAAATCTTGTTTGTAGGACCGTCAGTTTTTCTCATTCGTGCCTTCAGCGAATTCTACTGGAAAGATCACGGGTCGCTGAAGTACCAATACGTAGCACTTCTGTAAATAGGCCTAAATGTGTGCTGCCAAGCTCTGAGATAATCAAACTGAAAGATGTGGATCAAAGTCGATTTCACACTAGTGATTAATCTGAGTTTTGGATTTTATTAGCTCATTTTCAACACACTAAAATAGGCAGGTGTATACAGTACATTTCAAACATTCCAATCAATTCATAGATCGGCTGAAAATAAGGTAAAGAAGGGCTGAAGGGCTCCACCTATGTTCTCGATGCTGGCGCAGTTCAAATTTTATTTATGTGAAATAGAGCAACGTTCACCAGGGCGTATGTGTAACTTCCAAGAGAGCTAGTGAAATTGCATATCAGCAACAATTATTGCTTTTTTAGAGCAGAAACATCACATGAAAGCGCCAAAAATTTCAGCTTCACAAAACTTGAAGTACTCGTAAAACCGAGTTGGTCTCCAGTACCTTACTTGCTTCTTCTCAGCCACAAAGTTGAGCTCATGTAAACATTTCAATATGCTGAAGCAAATGCGCTATATTTTTAAGCACCAGTAAAACCGCTGCCACACTTGATTTATGCGCCCATTTTTCAATTGCTATTTTGGATACAACTGTGCTTTCATAGCCGCAACTGTGAGGCGAATAGACTACTATGCTTCATCCGCAAAGTATGCTTTTAATCCAAGAAATAGGCAAACGTTGAATTTAGTGCCGGCTAGTATTTAAGAGGCAAACGGAAGCATATCATCATACGAATGTAAGCAAATAAGTAAATGTATGTATGTAGTGGCGGTTCCAAAATTTTGCCAACCAACCAAAGAAACCACCTGACATGGCCGCAATGCAACAGCAGAGTCAATAGTCGCCGCGTCGCTATTCTAAGAATTTATAGCGCATTCGATTTGCGAATTTTATTGCCATTTATATAGTTTAATGTTCGACGTTTGCGGAATTTTTTGCCACTTTAATTGAATTTATGTGCGGTGGCGTGCTTTTGTTGCGACAGCACAAACAAATAAGTGAAGCGAGTGGAAAAGTTTTATGCTGAAAAATTTCAAATGCATACCCATGTACATTAGGGTGGCTCACAAAAAAAAAAGTTGCAATTTTTCCATCGCAATTATAAAACATATTACATATATTTAGCGACTTCCGCCAATATATTTCGGCATAATATTAAGATTTATGCGAGCCTGATTTAAAATATCTCCTTTATAAAATTTTTTACAATTTGTATGCAAACCCTTTCAACCTAAACTCTTTTAACTGAGATAATTTTTTTTTGAAACAAAATATTTTTAAAAAGTTACTTTATTATTAAAATGACTATAGTTTAAGAGGTATTTTCAAATCGGTGCAGCTCACTTAAAGCCCAATATTTTTCCAAAATATTTAAAATTTTTTTTGGCGGAATACTTAAAATATAGAAAATTCTATAATTAAGATGGAAAAACAGTATCGATGTTTTAATTTTTTTGTATGGACCGTGGTGCATCCTAATGTACATATGTACATACTTGGCGGATTTAATTTTGTTCCAAGTGATGCTCCAAAAAAAAAAATATAATTCAAATTTTAATAACCACAATTATTAGCGCTGATTTCTTGACAACTTACCTCTCTCCCCACATACATAAAATATGTATGCTTGAAGCCCAATTAAACTTTTCTTATAAAAACAAGCACAATTCAGCTACAAATATGTCATTTCATACAATTAGAATCAACTGCTCCCTCAACAAACAATACTAACAACAGCCAATACCTGCACAGCAGGCAAGCGTCCACTCCTCTAACTTTTTCTGATATATCACTACATGCTACTCTAACAAATTCATCGTCGCCAACCAAACTAGCAACTAACTAGCAACACTAGGCTCAAAAGTAAACTATTTTTCATGCTTTTTACCTCAAAGAGATATATATGTGTAAAACAAAACTCACCCACTTCACCCACTCACCAATCAAACGAAGAAGTAAATAAAAATAAAAATTAA